AGTGACCACAGTGTCACCTCGACCCGACGCGGCACAGAGCCACGAACGAAGAAGCATTTTGAGAGCCAGTGTACGCTCTCTTGACACTCACGCACCCGCCATCTCGTAGTGACTTCGACTCGGCGATCTACCTTTGGCCGCACATCACGGGGATTTCTCTCAATGACTCAGGTGTGCGCGAGTGTAAACGTGCGCACGCGTTCTCTGTGAGTGCGCCTCCGCCGAGTGAACTCTTGGGTGCAGTCGGGTGCCAACATCACCCATCCCTCACCACCACAACAAATGCCACGCCTTAACATTTGCATTTTGTTGGCAGTACAATAAGTGAATTAGTGTCAGCACAACTGCTGTTCGACCAGCTCGTGGCTCGGCTTGTGTTGACTCGCAGAGACTCGTGTCCTGGACAAAGCAGTGCCAGTGAAGAAATAAGTGACTCTGGCAGTAAAGACAGTTATCAGTACTTTTAATAGTGCCAGTGCCAGTGAGTGTCAGTCTGTGAGTGCCGGTTTTTGGCCCACTGCAGTTGGACCCGATCGGTCGCGGGGTGTGCTGACCCCCTCGACCCCGCCCCCCCAAACGGACAGCGACTCCGACTCGTGTGATGAACTTCTGAACAAAATGGCTGACGAAAACCTTGCCAGTGAGTACGTGGCGGACTTCATGTTGGAGCCGCTGGAGGATACCATCTGCGTTAAGGAGAACAAGGACCTCCATGGCATGGGCGGAATGGGCATGAGTCGTGTGCACACACACATGATGACGCCCCACATGCCCAACGTGGGCGCCGCCGCCTGGATGAATCACCACCACCACCACCACCCCCATCCACACACGGCTGCAGCCATCGGCGGGATGCCCACGCCCCAGGTCAAGCCCCATTCGCAGGTGCCCGGCACGCCCCCCGACACCCCTCCGGGTTCGTCGCCGCCTAACGGGTCCCTGCCGCCCTCGCCCCATTTCCAGGGCATGCCCCAGCACACGCTCATGGACGAGATGTGGGCCTACAACCGGTACATGCAGGAGCCGCTGGACCTGCGGCCCGGGCCACAGTGCGGCGGCGAGCAGCTCGAAGCCCAGACCTGGATGCTGGACCGCAAGTGGGAGAGCCAGCAGAAGTACCCTCTAAACACGCTGGCGCCCAATGGCAAGGGCGCCACCGACCAGCAGTCGTCGTGCCAGATGGGGCTGCAGGGCATGCAGCACCACAACACTAGCGTCTACATCTCGGACGAGGAGCTGGTCACGCTGTCCGTGCGGGAGCTCAACCGGCGCCTCCACAACATGCCCAAGGACCTCCAGACCAAGTTCAAGCAGAAGCGGCGGACGCTCAAGAACCGCGGCTACGCCCAGAGCTGCCGAACGAAGCGCCAGAATTACAAGATGGAGCTGGAGAACGTCAACAGAACCCTGCAGACGGAGAACCAGCGCATCCAGAACGACGCGAACCAGCAGATCGGCATCTACAAGTCCGAGAACCTTTCGCTGAGACGAGACATCGAGAACTTGAAAAAGCAGCTGGAGAAGACGCTAAGAGACTTGGAGGCCATCCGCCGACAGCAGCAACAGCAGCAGCAACAACAACAGCAACAACAACAGCAGCAGCAGCAGCAGCACCAGGTGCCGCAGTCCTCCCAAGACACGAGCGGAGGCCAGGAGCTGTACTCCATGTGACCATGTCGCCCCCCGGACTACCCGAACCCGCCGCCGCGTCAGGAGGGTGTCGGGTACGCTATGGAGAAGCCCAACGAAATAGCTTGGCCGCTTGAGCAGCAACGCCACCACCAGCACCACCCCCCTCCCTCGACCTCATAGAGGCATCCTCCTCGTCCTTCCCGCGCGCCCTGGCGACGCCCCGGCTCCTCGCCCCGCTCCTCCTCCGCCGCTGCTGCCTCCGCCCCTGTCCCTTCCTGGTCTGCTCGTTCGGCTGTGATTTCCTCTCCTCGTGGACGAGTCTTAGGCGAAGAAGGGTGACGAGGACTCTCATCCGCCTCTCCCCCTCCCCTCGCGCCGCCGCCTCACCTCGCGAGCGTGAGGCGGGCGAGGGGGAGGGAACAGCGCCCCTGCCCTCACCGTCCGCTCGACCGCCCTCAGCCACCCTTATTTCCTCTTTATTACCCTGGCGACAATCAGTGGGAGGCCTGAGGGTGTGGGCGGACGTTAGAGCAGCCCCTGGCCACCGCCCGCCGCCAACCACGCGGGCGCTGTGGCACCAACAAGCTCCACCTGTGCCGCGCCATATGTCAACGCCCCTTGTAAACACCGCAGTTCCAACGCCCTCCTCCTACCCCCTCCTCCCCCTCGCCGCAGGTAGCGTACGTCTCATGTGCAGGTGTACACTGCAGAAATCCCTCTCTTTAGTGTACACACAAACTTACGGAAGAAAAAAAAGGAAATATATATATATAACAATAATACTTGCCATTGATGTGTTCTCTTCAATATTTTGTGTTGTTATCTGTTATTTTTTTCTGTTTTTTGATAATTATATAGGTACATTTAT